CTATTCATGGGTAACTAATATTGGCAAACATTGTCTGATAAGAGAGAGGGCCAGCCAAGAGTCCATTAAATAGCAGAAATATACCGAATCCATGGATCCCAAGTGCTCTCAACAGATTTTTTTAACATATAAAAAAGTAATTTTAACATATATTTTTACATATATCTGTAAATGCATTCCAAAAATGTAGATTTGTATTTTTAAAGACATACAGTATATTTGAAATGTATTTTTTAAAATATTTTTAGAATATTTTGTAATAAAAACGCATTTCAACATACAGTATATATATATATATATATATATATATATATATATATATATATATTTATTTATTTATTGAAATATATTTTGAAATATATTAAATATAGCCAACATTGTAGCATTTCAAATATATGTCAATATATTTGGGAAGAATATTTTTAAAATGTATTTCAAATATTATTTGCTTCCACGTTTAGTGTTATTAAAAGATAAGTTCATCTTTGGGAACATGTTCCACCCATTTTTAGGATGGTGCATGTAACATGTTCCCACTCCTGTAGGCTCTCCCTGATCCAGTGCCTCCCTGTGACTAAAAGCCGGGGATCTTCTCTCCTCACAGAGTTCTGTGAATGGAAGAACTACAAACTACCATCAGGCCTTTAGTCCCCAGTGAACTACCAGGTGAGCGCTCCAGGTAGTATACTGAGAGAGTCTGCAGAATCTAGGCATTACAGCCATGATCTGATGATTGTGGGTGCAATACCTTACAGGCTGAAATGTAAAATAATAATAAATGCCCCTTCTTTACCTTCAAAAAGGAGTGCATTTAATATTTTTTTTTACCGGTTAACTTATTCTTTGTATTTCAATTATTTTTATTAGTATATAAACATTTAAAAAAACAGGAGCAACAAGACACATCCATGCAGAGGCCATCAATTGCACATAACAAAATAAAGAAAACAGTGCTCTAAACACCAACAGAGCAAAAGGTGCGCCCACGCAGGGGCTATCAATGGCACATAAATTACAAAAACATTGGTATAACATCGGCAGTAACTCAAACCAAAGGCAGCTATCCACCGCCACACCAAAAACAAACAGAAATAGAAAAGGAAGGAGGAGTACAAAAGGAAAAAGATGACAAGACCATGAGCAGGGGTTCGGTAAAGCCAATACCGAGCTCCCATATTTTCAAAAGTTTCCATTGGGAGTCGTTACAAATACTCAATATCTGTTCATTAAGCATCATAGTGGTCATACGATCCAGCACCCCCTGAAGAGGGACAAACTGACTCTTCCAGGCCTGAGCAATTGTTCTAGTGGCCAACTTCTGCTGGTGAGCCAAAAGGCCCGGTATGGGACAATGAAGCAGAGCGTACCGAGCATCTTGGCGTATGGGGAGATGGAACAAGGTAAAAAGGAGACCAAAAACCAATTAGTCTTGGGCATCCACCAGATATGCAATACATTACCACGATGGCCACAACCCCAAAAGTATCGATCACTGCAGGCAGGGTTTGCTTGGGCCAAACGAGCCGGAACCCAATACCGGCGAAACAATACTTTGTATGCCGCCTCCAGTGTGGTCGTATTAAAGGAACATTTAACTATAAACGACCAGGTCCTATTCCAGTCCTCCAGATCCATGATTGCCCCCAGGTTGCACTCCCATTGAGCTACATATGAGAGAGAAGTATGCGTTCAAAGTTGCATAAAGAAGGGAAATAAGGCCCGGGGTGCCCGGGCGCTGTTGGTAAAGCTGTTCAAAGGCAGATTTCCAATACGGGAAAGCGGAAGTGCCCTCAGTGAGGTCAGCCAATGCCGCAATTGAAGGTAATGAAAAAATTCCACCAGAGGGACATCCCATGACTCCCGAAGAGAATTCCGGGTAGAGAAGGACCGAGAAGTCAAAAAGGGGCACACCTGCGAAAAAACAATGGCCACCAACCAAGAGAACGCCCTTGGTTGATCTAAACCCGGTGGGAAAAAAGGGTTGTGAACAATTGGGAGCAAAGGTAGGAAAGGTGACATCAGGCTACTGGAGTAGCGTACCGAGTCCCACACTTGAAGACCATGGAGCAAAATCGGACTGAGTGTCATAGGGCAGGGGGAAGCCATAGAAGCGTCAATGTTGCAATAGGGGCACAATTAGGTATTTCCAGCAGGACCCAGAGAGGAATATCAGAGGAAGCATCCAACATAGACAGCAGGGCAATTTGGCTCGCCTGATAATACTTAGTTACATTAGGCACCCCAAGACCACCCTGGAGTCTATGAACAAAAAGCGTATTTCTGGAGACTCAGGTGCTTAAAGCCAGCGGCTCAAGCACCAGCACAAAGAGCGCCAGGGGCAGGGGGCAGCCCTGTCTCATCCCAAATAGGAAAGGGATCTGAAAAATACCCAGTGTATTTAATGGAAGCTGAGGGGGAAGAATACAAGGCTTGAATCCAAGAAATAGAATCCCCAAAACTCCAACGCGACAGCACAAGCCGCAGATATTCCCGGGATAGAGAATCAAAGGCTTTATATATGTCTAAGGAAAGTAAGAATCCCGGGAATTTCCGCTGTTGTAGAAAGTGTATAAGATGGACCACCTTACGAATGTTATCACCCACCTACCTCCCAGGGACAAAACCTACTTGGTCCCTGTGGACCAGACTATACAAATATTTATTGATACGAAGACTAAGGATATTGCCCAATATTTTCAGGTGTTCATTAAGAAGAGAAATGGTCCAAAAGGCTTGCGGTTCCTGCACATCATCAGTCGTCTTAGGAATCATGGAGATATGAGCTCTAAGTGCGTCCGAAGAGGGCAAAGAGCCCTGTCATAACTCGATGAAATAATCAGCCAAGAAGGGCGCCAACAGGGTTGCAAATTTCTTACAATAGAGACCGGTGTACCGTAGAGCATTTGATAGCTTGCAGCACTTCCGATACGGTGACACCGATGTTGAGGGCCATCTCCGCTGCCTTGGATAATCCAGGAAGTCGGAGATCTTGGAAGAATGCCTCTGCCTGAGCCACAGGGAAGGGATCTGGTTTAGCATAAAGGTGCAAAAGGAAGTCTGTGAAACGGGAAACAATCTGCTGGGGATTAGAAGTACAACCACCCGTGGGAAGTCGCAATCGGATCAGTTTGTGGGGTTTCCCCACAGAATTGAGTTTCCTCGCTAGCATCGGACCTGGCTTACTAGCACAGGAATAAAATGTATGGTTGGTCCAATGCAGGGCCCGTTCCGCCTCTGAAGAAGCAAGTAGGTCCAACTCTGCAGCCAGAGTGTCCTGTTCGTGTTTATGGGCCCCGAATGGAAATTACTTCCAACAAGCATCCAGAGGCCAGTAGAGAATGAAGATGCAAAAGTCGGCGCACTCACTCCTGCTTCTGAACCGCTGCCAGCTGTATAATGTGACCCCGCACCGTGGCTTTATGCTCCTCCCTTAGGGGCACTGCTGAAGAGACAGATCCCGAGTTTTCCGTAAAGTATGTACATAAGAAAGATTCTATTTGCTGGCAGGTAACCTGAGTGGTCAATAGAGATTCATTCATGCACCAGTGAAAGGAGCGCCGTACCGACCCAGAGAGGGCAAGGAGGAGTACCAGGGGATTGTGGTACGACCGGGCGAGGAGGGAATAAAGATCCTTCTGACCAAGGGAAGCTGCTGGACATGTATATATGGTCAATGCTACAAAAACTGTCATGAGGATTGGAATAGAATGTAAAGTCACGCTCAGTTGGGTGAAGTTCACTCCAGATGTCCACCAGCCCCGCCATCTGCAAGAGAGAGCGCATACGTTCCTCTAGCACTAAGTCATGAGAATAGGCCGCCCCCCCAGGCATAGCGCCTATCCAAAGCGGAATCCAAGGTGACATTTGAATCTCCCAAAAGAAGAAGAAGACCCTTGGAGTGTCAGGAAACGATGGTGCAAATATGAGAAAAAAATTTATGCTGAAAGCAATTGGGCACATAGTAAGAGACAAAAGTAACTCCTGGTCCCAGAGGGTGCCCTGTAGGAGCAAATACCTGCCTATGGGGTCTTTAATATTTCGAGCACAGACAAAGGGGAGATTGCGTTTTAAAAGCTATCAATACACCCTGGCATTTGTCAGAAGCCAAGGCCGTGTAAAAAGTGGGATAATGGGGCGAAAGATACCGTGGAGCGGAGGACTGAGAAAACCTGGTTTCCTGCAAACACACCACGTCAATTTGTTGCGATTTGAGGTGATAGAAAAATTAAGCCCGCTTCTGAGGCAAATTGAAGCCTTGAACATTTTGTGAATGTACTTTCAAAAAGGGTGAGGTCATGGTGGTATCAGCACAGCACGCTCAGCAGAAAAAGCATAAGTCAGCCAACAATTTCCACTCCCAATGGCGGTCGGACCATGACATTCCGAAACCCTGCATAAAACAAAAACAGAAATACCAGAGAAGAAAAGAAAACAAGAATAGGAAAGAAGAAGATGACACAAGGAGTATGTAAAATAGTACAATCATATCATGCCAATGATGACACGTATCCTACACTTGAAGGATACCAGTTGGGGGTGGCTCTACCACCAAAGGTTAACTTATTCTTTAACTCAACAAAGTCCACCTCCACAAATGTAAAAATTATGTTTTGTTTGTGTGCACCAAATTTAATTGTATTTTTTACTGAAAATATAGATTGTTTAAATATTGCATGGTATTAAAATTTGACTACCTCTAAAAAGTTTTCTGAAAATATATAGTTTTGGAGGAAAGGAGCAGTGAAGTGGGGCACTCGATTAGGAGAAGGGGTGTAGAACTCTTTGCTGTGTAAAAGGGGAGCACTGTAGGTAGACAAGATGAGTAGTACAGGAATGGCAATGGAACCAAATAAGAGGTTCAGTGCAGTGGGGTGGATGAGCAGAGCAGAACAGAAAGGGGTGAAGTGGCCTAAAGGCAGGGGCAAACTGACCATTTGGAAACTCGGGCACTGCCCGAGGGCCCGGGGTCAGTAGGGGGCCCCATGAGATGCCCCTGGTACCTTTTTCATAGGCTTTTTTTGAGTTTTGGCAAGGACACAGGGGCCCCATGATCCCCTATTGCCCGGGGGCCCCATGAGCTGTTAGTCCGCCCCTGCCTAAAGGAGTGGTGCAGAGAAATGGTTATTGTAGGGGGACTAAAAGGAGCAGTACAAGTGAGCCCCATAGGCAGATGAGAGGAGCAATACATATCAGGATGCTGGAGGTGGACGAGGGCCACCCTTGCAGGTTTATTAGATTCTTTACCCTTTACCCTGTTTACCCTGTTTAAGACACTGGCAGGAAAAACACTGTTGCCCTCATATTATTGTAGAACAAAGCCCTTTAAAGCGAATCCAGCAGTTTTCTCTTTTTATTTTACACCATAAGGAATTTTAAAATTAAAAAACAGTTGAACCGCACATGGTCATAATCGTGCATATTTTAGACATATCATAAACCAGTCCCATAATTGGTGTAAAAGAAGCTCATGTTTGTACTCAAGATACAAGTTGAACACAAGCACGAGCACTTTCTTTTATACCAATTATGGGACTGGTTTAGATGTCTAAAAATCTGCACGTTTATGACCATGCGTGGTTCATCTGTTTTTTAATTTTGCTTTTTTGTGACAATTTTACACAATTAAAAGACTGCTGCAATTAGGTCTAGTTTGTGTTGTTGAATGAAAAAAATATCCATAAGTGCAGGAGCACTTTCTCTTTATTCACCATAAGGAATTTGCTTTGACCTTTCCATAATGGGCTTTCAATTAATGTCTTTTCAGTGATAAGTAAGAGGTTATATGATGCTATTTACACCATTTAAATGGATTTTACAGACAACTGGTAATGGAATATCAAAGCTTTGCCTCTTTATTTAATAATATGGTATTTGCCAGTACTTTATTTACTTAAGCTGTCACTGCAGTAATGAGAGTCTAGATGACTCACCAGAATTATTGTGGGATATGGACAAATTTAACAGAACGCACCATGTACATTTACGAGTAATTGGTGAGTTTTCAGCCTTATATTGCTTGCTGCTATTAATTTTTAATTATTAGATTGATATATACAGAAACCGATCTGTGGTGGGTTTGCCTTTCCAGACACTCCAGGGTTGTTGGACACTTGACAGGTGCTGTCTCCTCCTTAGTGTTATCTTGGGATAACTTATTATTATTGTTTATTTAATTATTGATTATTGTTCTCAGGATTAGCTGGGTCCTGTTGTAAACTTATTGCTGTTTGACTGGCTGCTACATACTTCTGCAGCATTCTCTAGCTTTTCTTGCACTTAAATCAGAACCAAACATAATTTGCAAAAGACTGCAGACAGGCAGCTCTTTATTGCAGAAGAGACATGCTATAAGACACACTTACCTTTCTGTTTGCATTCTTCTATTGAATATACACTGAGCTGGCATGCGCAACTCGGCATGCATTCCCAGCTTACTCTGGCTGTACAGGAATGTTGACAGCAGCTATCGAGGGATATAACCACTGCATTGCTGGAAGGTGGAGGTATTTATGGGAGTTTAGTTCCCTTCTAAGGCTTTGCTGCTAACCTCCATTGAGTGAATGCTTGCTTTCTTTAACCCTACAGGTGAGCAGTTTACAATAGGAGGTTTGATGCAGTGCCCACCTGCCATTTTGTCTATATTTCATTAAAAGAGCATTATGCACTGGCTGCCTTTTGTCTCTATTTCATGCAATGGTTTTGACATTAGACTGGCTATCCATGGCAAAGAACTCAAGTTCTCCTTGAGTTTGTTTTTCCCAGTGGCATCAACTCTACTCTGCTGTTTGCAACCTCAACTTTCCTACATGTAAGCCTGTTAGCTAGGGAATAGCAAGGGAATAGCTTTCTTAGCAGGTACCAGTGCATTCAAAAGATGGCTTCTAAAGGTGAAATCTGCCAAGTTTTGGTCAACTTGTCTTAACAAATATTAAACTAATGAATGAATTAGCTGAATGGGTATGTCAGACCTCTGCATGGAGATTACTAATTCTTTACAGAGAGCAAATATCCTTCTCTTTAGCATGGCGACAGGGGACAAGCTTTTCTACTTTCTACTCTCTTAAGAAAACTAAGCGGAAGATTGTATATACCAGGGGCGGACTGACAACTCATGGGGCCCCCGGGCGATAGGGGATCATGGGGCCCCCGTGTCCTTGCCCACATTCAAAGCACACCCAAAAAAGCCTATAAAGGGTACCAGGGGCATTTCATGAGGCCCCCTACTGACCCCGGCCCTTGGGCAGTGCCCGAGTGCCCGAATGGTCATTCCGCCCCTGATATATACCTTACCTTTTTGTAAAACCTTACCTCAATCGGTGATCAGTTTGGAGGGCCAGGAGCTACATTACACCACTACAGGTCTATACAGGCAGCCCAGTGGAGTAGTATGATCCTAATGCTGCTTTGAATACAGCTCCTACTCTCAAACAGCTTCTCTCCCAGGCTTTTAGAAATGCACAGAAAGAAAACATTTATTCAGGATGATAAGAACTTTCATAGATTCTGTTAAAAGACAAACATGTGTTAAGTGATTGCAACATAATTACATGGCTCCCACCTGGGAATTTTAATGCAGACTAAAAGCTGCATTACCTTTTCAAAGAAAGATATTGAAATATGTCTGACGAAATTAAATTCGCCTGTGAAATACAGTTTTAAAAGCTGACTCATGGAATTTCACCATGAACGTATGAACCTTATTGAAAAGCACCTGTTAATTTGGAAATGAAAGAATATGTAAACCCAACATTTCATATTCCTGATATGTGCCTGCTGTACCATGTACTTGTATGAAAAAGTATCCTGTTATCTTTGTATTGCTGCTTTTGTGTGAAATCCCTTGTGTTCTGACAGTATCTCTGCTTTTCTATTAAAAACTGACCACACTAAGCAGAAGAACACACCATTGTCAGTTCTGTAGTTGTGCTGGGAAAACAGGCTGTTATCCTCCAATGGTCTGACTTGTCCTGACACAGCACCCTGCACAACCTTTCACTGGGAAGATCAGTGTAATCAGTGTCTGCTGTTTCTCCTCCCCCAGCTCTTATGCAGCTGAGAACAGAGGGAATGTAAAGGGGAAAAAAAGGTACAGTATTTATGATCACTTTCAGTATACTTTTCTAGGTGAATGCAGTTCATAGTGTCATCATCACAAATGGGTAATTCTTATGCTCAAATGGCTATCTTATTAAAAAATATTCTGTGTCATGTCATCCATTGACCAAAAAGTTTAGAGATCAAATATTACCCATTATAATCTACAATATAATGGGGAAGGATTAAAAATCCTTTTGGGTTTTACTGCTATCTAGGACACTGTTAGGGTGATTCACCTTCACTTTCTGTCCTGCTGATGGTTTCCCCAAACAGGAGATTATGAAAAAAAAGGCACTAGTGTGGTTTCTGCAACTAAGAGAGAATCAAATTGAAATGGGGGTGTGATTAGGTTTTAACAAGTTAAGTGAATCTAAAGGTTTTTGGAATAGAACGGACAAGGCTGAAACCTGTTCCTTAAAAGTACTTAGAGCAAAGTTTTGGTCAAGTCCTGACTGCAGAAAAGCCAGAGTGCAATGTATAGAATAGTCTCTGGGGTTGAAATGCCTGTGTTCACACCAGGTGAAAAAGGAGTTCCAGGACGATTTTACTTGCAGTGGCTTTTTCTGGTTTTGAGCAATGTGGGAATGACAGTCAGATATACTCCTGTTTTTCAAAACCTGGGTTTCCACAACTAAAGTCAGTGATTGAGAAGCAGGATGGAGCAGGGGGGCTTGAGACATGAGGTCTGGCCTGTGTGGAAGAGGCCAGAGGTCATCTCCTAGATGTTTGAGCATGTCTGTGTACAAAGTTCTTGGCCAGTTTGGTGAAAAGAGAATCACTGATGTCTTCTCTTCCTCTATTTTGTGGAGTAGTCAAGATAGAATCCACAGTGGAGGAAAGGCATACAGTATACTAGGCTGCACAGAGTCCATGGAATTACCAGAGCATCTGATGCCAGTGCTAGAGGATTCTTGGTTCTGGACTAAAATAGGTGTAAATTATAGTTGAACCTGGAGGCCATGATGTCTACATCTGGACCTCCCATTTCTGAAGTTGAAGATGTTGGGATGACGTTACCATTCTCCATTACATTCCTTTGTTCAGGTGGTGATGTAAATTCACCTTCAAATTGTCCACTCCTGAGATTGGAAAACTAGAAGTTGCTGGACAGTGCTGCTGATGGGCAGGGGCCATTTGGAAATAGCAGCAATTTTCTCAAGGTATGTGGAAATCCATCTTTAGAGACAATGTACAGTTGTGGCCAAAATTATTCAACCCCCAATGCTGTAAAGGGGTTTAGGGACTATAGTGTACATTTGGAATTGTATTCAGAATCAAATCCTACAAGGACGTTGTAACTACCCAAATGCAACTAAAATGACATCAATTGTTTATGTAATACAGTAGTAAATGGTTCTTATGTGGTTTCTTCATTGCCACAATTATTCAACCCCTTAAAGACTACCACTCTGAAGAACAGAGGTTCATACAGGTGCTTTCCATCAGGTATTGAAAACACCTGTGGATGTCACCGAGCAGCAATCAAGCATAATAAGCACCAATTAGGCAGCTTTAAAATGACTGTGATACTCAGCTCCTTCTAGACATTTACTGGTGTGGTTACAAACATGGTGAAGGCAAGAGAATGGTCCAGGAAGACAAGAGAAGAGGTGATTTCTCTTCACAGGAAGGGCAATGGCTATAAGAAGATTGCAAAGATGTTAAACATACCAAGAGACGCCTTAGGAAGCATCATTCGCAAATTCAAGGCAAAGGGCACTGTTGAAACGCTACCTGGTCGTGGCAGAAAGAAGATGCTGACTTCGACTGCTGTGCGCTACCTGAAGCGTAGAGTGGAGAGAAGTCCCCGTGTGACTGCTGAGGAACTGAGAAAAGATTTGTCAGATGTGGGTACAGAAGTTTCAGCCCAGACAATAAGACGCACACTGCGTAATGAAGGCCTCCGTGCCAGAACTCCCAGGCGTACCCCCTTGCTGTCTCCAAAGAATAAGAAGAGTCGACTGCAGTATGCCAAAAGCCATGTGGACAAACCACAAAAGTTGTGGGATAGTGTTCTGTGGACTGATGAAACAAAATTAGAACTGTTTGGGCCCATGGATCAACGCTATGTTTGGAGGAGAAGAACAAGGCCTATGATGAAAAGAACACCTTGCCTACTGTGAAGCATGGTGGAGGGTCAATCATGCTTTGGGGCTGTTTTGCTTCTGCAGGTACAGGGAAGCTTCAGCGTGTGCAAGGTACCATGAATTCTCTTCAGTACCAGGAGATATTGGATGGAAACGTGATGCAGTCCGTCACACACCTGAGGCTTGGGAGACGTTGGACCTTTCAACAGGACAATGATCCCAAGCATACCTCCAAGTCCACTAGAGCATGGTTGCAGAGGAAAGGCTGGAACATTTTGGAGTGGCCATCGCAGTCACCAGACTTAAATCCGATTGAGAACCTCTGGTGGGACTTAAAGAAAGCAGTTGCAGTGCGCAAGCCTAAGAATGTGACTGAACTGGAGGCCTTTGCCCATGAAGAATGGGCGAAGATACCCGTAGATCGCTGCAAGACACTTGTGTCAAGCTATGCTTCACGTTTAAAAGCTGTTATAACTGTAAAAGGATGCTGTACTAAGTACTAAGATTGAATGTCACTTGGGGGTTGAATAAAACTGATAATGCTGTGAGCACAGAAAAGACATTTGTGGTTATTTCATTATAACTGTTATGTTATATTTGTCTGACCTACAAGTGCCTCTTTAATGTAAATGTAAGCAAGATGACTGAATGATCAAAAGCAATGTCAAACTGGCCAAAACACTCAATTTCAGTGGGGGTTGAATAATTTTGGCCACAACTGTAGGCCAGAAAAGGGAGTATGAAGAGGCATTGTTTGTCTTTAGCATAGAGTTAATTTTCTTAGAGACATTGCAAGACAAAGCAGACATGATCAATATTTTAGGGGAAACTGCACATTTGTGCAAAAAAAAAATATTGTGAAAAAAACTAAGAAGCAAACACAAATAAGAAAATATCCCTTCTAGTGTATACAAATGAAATAAAAATGTGTTGTGCTGAATAATAACAACCAAAAATATTCTGTGTTCACAGTTTAAAAATATACAAAAAATGCATAATGACACAACAAAAAAGAAAACTAATATTAAAAAGTATAGTTAGTGCTACTAACCCAGGACCGTGCATTCACTATATCTGGTCTCCCACAGTACACAGAATATGGAAATGTAATTGTTATAGTACATATAAACTGCTAAATACCTTTTCTCATCAGCAGCTGGAGCAGTCTTGTGATTTCTATCTGTGTCCAGCAGAGCACTGTTTACAGCTTGTAGGAGGAGTTTTCATTCTCCTGTAGGAGAATGCAGGACCCCTGACCTCTGTCTGGACAGTACTGATTGGCCCTGTGCTGATCACATGCACTCCCCCCCCCCAAAAAAAAAAAAACACTCTCTAGCAATACACCCCAAACTGTGCATGTGCAGTTTGCCCCTGAGCCTCTGTTCTATCAGGAGGTATTTAGGAGACATTGGAAGAAGGGGAGGATCAGAGAAGTCAGAATCAAACATCTTTGTATACACAATGTGAGGGATTAACCTCTTAGGTTCCACAGTGAGCATAACAAGCATGATTTACTGCATATACAGACTGATTTTACTGTTGCGGGTTTAGTAACACTTTAAATGAGTCCACAAACAGTTCCATCCATGGATGTACAATAAAGTGAAGCCACGCCTCTTTCCAAAATCTTATATATGTAGTGCCACTGACAGCCAACACTGATGGGCATTGATAGGCTGCACTGATGAAGCAGCATTGATGAGGCGGAACTGGTGGACATTGATGAGGTTGCACTGATATGCGACAATGATGGGCACTGATAGGCATCACTAAAGGGCACTGACTTGTGGCACTGACTGACGGCATTGAATGGCGACACTGATAGGCGGCACTTACTGGCGGCTCTGATGGGCTCAGATCGGCAGCCCTGCTGGGGCACTGATGAACAGCACTGCTGGGCACTGATGGGTAGCAATGTTGGGCACTTTGGGGGCTGCACATATTATCAGTGTAGATGTCTCCTTTTACAGTTGCCGATTACTTTCCTTATGCTATGACAACGTGAGGAAAGTACTGCCAATAACCAGCAAATGTAATTACATGGTGATCAGCTGTGATTGGACACAGCTGTTCACATGGTAAAAGGCTGCTGTGATTTGCCCTTTACCTCGTTATGTGATCAGCTGTGTCCAATAGACACAGCAATCACAGAGAGTGCACGGGGGGGGGAAGGGGTGCGTTCTGGGAGGACGTCATATGACGCCCTCCCAGAACTGGATGATCGTGCTTTAGCTGTCATGCGGCTATAGTGCAGTCAAGAAGTGGGTAAGTATAAAGAACATCTGGGTCACCTTCCAAGCCACCTCAGTATCACTCAGGAATAAGGTAGGTATAAGCAGATTTCCCACATTAAAATTCATGTAAGACAAGAAAGAGAAAGCCTCTCCATAGTTTAGAACCTCTTAAAATAATTTATTTTAACAAAGGAATGCACTCACATAGGTTAAAACACATGTACATAAAATCACCAGACCAGCATCGACTTCCTAGAACGCAATGGAACGCAATGATGCCAGCGGAGCCTCTTGCTGACATCATCATGTTCCATTTTCTAGGAAGCGGATGCCGCTTTAACTGAGTGAGGTGTGTTAGAACCCCTGGAGGGTTTATATTGTTGTCTTTGTTCTTGCACTTCCTATCTTTGTGATCACCAGATCATAAATCCAACCTTTCATACTCAGAATGTATGGTCTAATTACAGTATGTCCTTTATTAAAATGAAAATAAGCATGGTCTGTAGAATTGAGTTTATATTCTAAGGGAATCAAAAGAAACTCTGATACATTAGTTTTGAATTCAATGATAAATTAACACAATTTGAACACATGTAAAATGAGCTAGGGCTCATAATATTTTAGTTCTACGTTAAGTATTATATAATTTTCCAAATCTTACACTAGAATACTAAAATTGTATTGTGCAGTGACACCATAGCTATAATGCCCTCACAATGTAATTAAGGCCATTCCAAATATACCGTAATATTCTGGCTGGAGTTGCAGACATCATGCTATTAGCTGACAGACAGTAAATTAGCCTGCAGATAAGATTTGCAGAGTGAACTGTTAAGTCAGTGGATCTGAATCTTACCCTTAGGCTTAATGGCACATTGTAATTCTGGGTAACTTTAGTGAACTTTCCAAGCAGCATGTAGAAATGAGTTCTGCACATGAAAAAGTACTGTGCTTTAAAATAACACTGTGTACAGGAAATTCATAATCATATTATAGTTATTGTTATTCTTTATTTTTAGTGTTCACTGCTAAAAATACAAATTATTTTTATTTTAGCAAAAATTGCATTTGAATATTAAAATATCCAGGTTGCTTTATTTTGTTTGGGGAAATAGAAGATTCCAGATGAATAAACTAGCACTTTATGCTTCAAAATCCCAAAGGGGGATTGGCCTCCTCAATTTACAAACTTACTACCAAGCGGCCCAAGTTGCCCAACTTGCGTATATTACAGCTAAAGGGCCTTTTCCCCTCTGGGTTTCTATTGAAGCTCTCTCCTGCTGTCCTTTTATCATTGCCTTGGCTCCGTACTCGCCTACGCCAACCTTTCTTATGTCCTACGTTATCACATTCATTGGCCCCTGTCCTCACCTCACACACCATTAGCACCTATCATTTGCAACCCCGAGCTGCCCCCAGGTTGACACCTACTACATTTCAATGGTGGATTAATAATGGATTCCTACTTATCGGTGATCATCTGAATGGGGGCCAACTATACTCCTTGACACATTTTAGGGATAACTTACAGATGCCTTTTAATGAGACTTTAACCAAATTGCTTCATTTATTAGATCGAAACTAAAAACTACTGACTGGCTCCCTCACGTTGTCTCTATTTGAGCTATCCTGCCAGTCGTGAAATTCCCCAAAAGGCAGGGTGTCACTAATGTACGCATCTATAACTGAACCAACATCTAAACCTCCTTATATGACGTTATGGGAATGGGAATTGAACCTTACCGTTGATCTATCGGAATGGCAAGATGTAGCCTATGCTCTTTCTAAAATATTGATTAATATGACTTTGATAGAGGCGAACTATAAAACGCTTCTATGTTAGTACCTGGTCTCCACGCGAGTCGTGGAAATGCATCAATGTTTTTGATGCTGTGGCCATCTGGGAACAATGTACCATATCTGGTGGCAATGACCTGTGGTCACTAGATTTTGGATTTGGATGTTCAAGTTTATCTACAGTACTCAGTGATCGGAGTAAATATTTATAGATCTCCGAAACCAGCGCTTTTTCAGATGTTTCCTGATACGGTTTGTAAAAAGTCTGTAAATATATTTTTGCTGGCCAGGATTACAATAGCTAAATATTGGAAGCAGTCAATGGTCCCACTTGAAGGCTAAACTAAACTGGATTGTGGTTAACAATAGACTCACCTGCATTCTCTATAAAAACACTGGGAAGTTTGACAGAACCTGGGATCCATGGATCCGCTAGTTATCGGTGCATTAAATGTCTCAAGTATATCCCTCCTTTGGTTACTATCTTTGCTTTATTCCTTCTTTCCCTTTCTCTCACTCAGTTTTTTTTCTTTCTTCCCCTCTGGTTTTCTCTCCGTTTTTTTTTTTTTTTTGTTAAAAACCGTGAATGCAGAGGTTCACAGGGCCTTTTAGAACTTGTGATCCACCACATACTCAGGACTAATATACAGTGGTTCCTCCCCTATCCCCACTCCCCCTCCTTTGCTTCCTTTCTCTTTTCCCCTACCTCTTTACTGTATGATTATTATTACATTTTATATACTGTTGTTGATATACAGTATGATGTTTTGTCATTGGTTAGGTCATTTTATGTCTAGCTCATTGTAGTCACGGTTAACACTTTACATCTGATATTGCCTTTTACTATCTCTAATAGCCATATGATCTGAACCAGAGATCATAGCTACGTTTCTGTTTGTTTGTCTGATTATGGATCATCTTGTATTTATCCTTTGATTGTGAAACCCCGTTTCTATGTAGTGTCATGACGCTGGGTATTGATGTATAAAAGACTATCAAAATTGTCCCTTTGTATTCTTCTAATAAAAAATATTGAAATATAAAATATCCAGGTTGCAGGTGTGGTTTCAGACTTTGTATCCTTAAAGTGAACCTGAGCTCAGACTTACTAAAGTAGCTACATATCCTGAACATGCAGTAAAAGCGCTAAAACAAGCAACCAGTCATCTCAATAGTTATAGGAATTGTGGAGAAATTAATCTGCAAAGCTCTTTTCCTGTTACTTTCTATTGCAGTGGAATATTGGCAATTTGCCAGTTGTTTCTGAACTGTTGGGCGTTACTTGAGAGTAGGGCATTACAGGTGGGGGTTTAATTGTGATCCTTCTGCTTGGCTCCCTCCCCGGAAGCTGTGGGCTTAAATGTGCGTGGTTTTTTGGCTCCTGTTAGTTGATAATGATGACCTGTGAAAGCATGTATCCCCCCCCCCTCCTCCTCCTCCCTTAGTAGAGATAAGCCGGGTACTGCTAAATAATTCCTGACAGTTGCTCAGCTCCCTCCAGCCTAAGAAAGTCTGCAGTCTCCGGTGCCTCAAATGCTGCCCAGTGGGGACCCAGTGGCTGCCCCACAGGAGAGGGGATGTGGTGACACAAATTTTTTTTCATGTGTCAGGTTTTTTGCAGGAAAGCAGAGAGGTTTTCAGATGATTGGCTGCTCCTTTTCTGGCCAGACTAAGGACGGATGACTTCTGCTGCTATGCTGTGTGGGGTAGACTGGTTATTTCAATTTAGATTTTTTTTGGGTGTACAGCCACTTTAAATAAATCATCTACAGCTCTGGAATATACTGTGAGATGTGATATAGGCTCTGGATATACAGTACCTCAGGGCAATGCAGCCATTGTCATATGAGCCTGTACATGCCTGCAAGCTAATCACAGCACAACATCTTACAGCCTACAATACCAATACTACAGTGATTGCCTAATGAGACTGTGAATTATACTTGTATACACTAGAACCTGGCATTCTGATTTCTGCTTATAATACCTTCTGAAACAACTGAGACAGAAAGCAGCCTGTGTTTCACAAACAACCTCCAGATACAGAGCTAGGCAACTGATACATTTCTCAGAGGTTGCCAGTTAACTCTTTCATTGTAAGGACAATGTCTCGGCAAAACATTAGATTTTCTGTGGAGATGGAACCACAGCAAGAACCAGAATTCTTCCTAGATCAGGAACTCAGCAGACAAGGTAAAAACTTGGTTAAACCAACTTGTAAACTTCAACAGAATTATAAGCATGATAAACAAGAACTGCTGGTTAATGCTAGTCACTTATGGTCTAAGATGGTCGATTGCATATCATCCCTTTCTCAACTATCTCATGAGGCGCTCTCAAGCAATTCATTGTTACCTATGAGAGTTATTAAAGACTGTGCCTTACTTATACAGACACAGTCTTTAGAGAAACAATGTGAGAATGTCACAGCAATAGCAAATGTAAAGGTTTTAGAGCAAGCTGCTAGCGAAAGTGAAGGACGTAACAGTAGCAGACACTCTGTTGCAGGGGCGGACTGACAACTCATGGGGCCCCCGGGCAATAGGGGATCATGGGGCCCATGTATCCTTGCCCAAACTCAAAAAAGCCTATGAAAAAAGGTACCAGGGGCATCTCATGGGGCCCCCTACTGACCCCAGGCCCTCGGGCAGTGCCCGAGTTTCCAAATGGTCAGTCCGCCCATGCTCTGTTGCCTTGTATGCAGCATATTCTTCACACGCTCTGCCAAAACTTCAACTCCCAGCCACAGCAGCATTATCCCTCAACCAAGGTCAGAACACTGTACCTCATAAGAAAATCTGCCTACTCATCCCCCAGTACACCAGGCTTTTGTGCCGCAGCAAACTGTGGTATGCAGATAATGGACAATGGGGACAATTCACAAAGCGGTATCTTACCGCATCCAAGAATGCGGTAAGATACCACACAGCATTTTTTTTTTTTAAATTGTTGGCATTCACTAAAAACACTCTACCAAAATACCACATGAGTTAGTCATGCGGTATTTTAGTAGTGAAATCATGTGGTAATGTAATGATTCATCAACTGTTAGCAGGTTCCCCTCTGACAGCTGCATGTTAAAAAAAAGAATTGCTGGCAATTAAAAATTAAGAAAAAAAAATGAGTGGGGTTCCCCCCAGTATCCATACCAAAGATTGTTTTTTATTTGATGTCACTGTTTTTGAGGAATATTGAAACAAATGTATGAAGTTTTTTTTAATGTAGTGGCAAAGCAGCACTACTTATATATTATGCCTGTTGATAGATGAAAAACAGACAGCAATGCATTCTTATGGGCAATGGATGTAAAAGGATGATCATCTGTTTATATCCGCATCCGTCCACATCCATTTTTTAAAACAGATTAAAACCCTATTTTTTGTTCTGTTAAAATGGAGGATATAGTTTTTTACATTGGTTATTAGGAGCCGGCACCCGCCAGCATCCTAACACCCAGTGACTCATGTCTGCTGTCAGCAGGACTCCCACTGATAGCAGTAAGTAAGCAAGAGAAAGAAAAAAGCAGATTGAATACAGCTAGGGGTGGGGAAGGGGCTGTTTGTACTGCAGATAATTGGGAAAGTGAATGGGGGTGGAGAGAGGCAGGAGAGGAGGGGAGTAGTGTGTACAGGCTCCCTCACTTGCTGGCGCCGACTGTCATTGCCTGCTTTAAATGTAAATGTTTTCTTTACTTTATAGCGCTGAGAAGGAGCTGTCATTCGGCCCCACAACTAAAGTAGGGTGGGGTGAAGTCACTGAGTGATATCACTGGGTTAACTAGATCTGCTAGTTCCTCAATCTGCTGAACATATCAAAAAGACTCAAAGCTGTTCATATGGAGAACTCAGTCTTAACGCTGCTTGTGACACACTTGAGTATAGCTTTGGCAGCCTAGAAGCCATTGAGGATGCTTTATTTAAAAGGTTGCAAAAATATCAAGCAGAGAAAATCTAAAGTTTCAAGAGCTTAATCACCTTCTCTTGGAGCTTCAACTTGTCAAAGCTGATACCCACCTACCCAGCCTCAGTTACCTAGATTCCGCTTGTAGGATCAACCCAATAGTCTCCAAGTTACCTTAAGGAATACAGGGAATATGTGCATTACTTGAATCAGGATACAAGGAAGAAAATAAAGTTTGTTTTTCTCCCTTTTTGTACTTCTGCAAGTTCATTAGGAGAATTGCAGATAGTAAGAATGATTCCAGTTTCTCTTATGGGAAGTCGAATCCTCTCGGTCCACCTTCTCCAAGGCCAGAAAACTCACTCATTTCACATAGAGGTACACTGTCTGTGAAAATGACTGATATTATACCTATACCTACTACACTCTCTGAAAGGACTGATCAAAACAACACAACTGAAAATCCAAATCATCAATGTCCCATACATGGCAAACCACACCCATTTAGAAAATGTATTGGTTTCACAAGGAAACTCTTCCAAGAACTTTAAGAGCTTTTAAAGAAATGTGGGGTTTGCTTCAAATGCTGTGCTTTCACAGGACACCATGGAAAAGACAGTAAGGCTACTATTCAGTGCATAGAATGTGACAGTGACGAACACATGCAAGCACTTCATCCATTTTAAGACATTGCCCACTCTCATGAAGGGCAACCAGATTCCAACCAGCAGAGAGGAGATCCCTATTCCTGCTGCTTCCTTTCACCACTTTCACTTGAGGGGCTTAGCTGACCACATACCAGCTTTTGACATAAATGCTGATATTCTCCTGCTTCTCATCAGAGACATCTGAAGGGTATATTAGGCTCACTGACAAATCAACAGGTCACATAGCCTATCACAGTTCGGAGGCCCTGAAATTCCAAGATAGCACCAACCCCCCCCCCCCAAATGACCCCTTTTTGGAAAGTAGACACCCCAAGAAATTTAGAAAGAGGCATGGTGAGTATTTTGCAGATCTCATTTTTTCTCACAAGGTTTTGAAATATAAAAAAAGAAAAGAAAAAATATGTTTTTGTTTTCTTTCTTCATTTTCCAAAAACGTGTGGCAACAAATGAGATCTGCAAAAAGCTCACCATGCTTCTTATCAAACTCCTTGGGGTGTCTACTTTCCAAAAAGGAGTCATTTGGGGGGGGGGGGGGTTTGGTGCTATCCTGGCATTTCAGGGTCTCCGAAACTGTGATAGGTAGTCAGGAAGTGTAATGAGTAAATAAAGCCCTTTAAAAGCCTTAAGGTGCAGCTGCAGGCATCATCCTGGTATAACCACTCAAAGTTCAGTGATGTACTAGTACGTCTCTGGTCCAAGATTGTACAAATGTCTAAATAGTGGCACGCTTGAATAAAAATTGTCCACGTATAAGTGGTACCCCATATGGACAAAAGATGACACCAAGTCCCAAACTATCTTGCCACTGCTCCCCATGTAGTCTGAGCATCCGGGGGGCTCCACGTGACTATCTTTTCCCTCGTAAATCCGAAACTTGTATGTATAGCCTGTTGCCCTCTCACAGGTCTTATACATCTTGACCCCATATCTGACACACTTGCTGGGGAGAAATTGAATGCAAGGTGGCCAGAAAAAGTAATGAGGGACTCATCATTTTGCTGGGGAGTATAGACATCTGCAAATTTTTGGTTAAGGTGATTTACGAGGGGCTGAATTTTGTGGAGCCATAAAAATAGCTTATAAATAGCATTGATCCACAATCAATGCATACAGATCTTGTGTAAAAAACAGCTCCAAAAAATCAAGGGGAGTATTTAAATTTGCTGTTTCCACCTGAATTCTGGGTTGGGCATTGAATGGGAGAAGTACGGGTGTTGCAGAATTTGTGGGCTACCAATCGGGATTTGCAAGCACATGCAGAAGGATACTAGGGGCTCTACGGGCCTGTGTGTGAATTCTTGGTGGCTGCAGGACCTACTTGTGTTCGCCACTGCACCAGCTTGTACTGCATTTATGAGAGTTGCTACGTCACCAAGTGATACTGCAGTGCTGGTATGTGAAAGACCAGGATGTATTAGGCTGCTGGTGCTCACCAGTTCACCAAAAGGTAGTGCGGCACTAGTACTGGCACTCTCCTGCATATGAGAGTCATCATGCATTTTGAACATCTCAGCAGCCTGGGAATGGGGTCGGGTACACCTGATCTTAGCAGGGACCTCTTCTCCATTGTCTGAGCTGTCAGGGACTGCTTGAACCACTACAACAAAAATTTACCGGTAAGTGCTAGCAGAGATCAGGCCTGATTCTGCAAACACTGTGGTTTTGTGTGCAATGCATCAAGTGACAGTGATCTACTGACACTACACTTGCTGGGGGAAAAGGGGTGGGGTAAGTGTAGGGGCTAAACACAGGTGCTGGCAGGTGCCGGGGCTGATCCCGCTAACTCTGCGTTTTTGGGGACACTATACTAATGTGAACGCTGATATAGTGCTGATCTGATCATAGACAGTGATCCATTCAGATACTACACTAGCAATGGAGGTTTATTGTGTATAAGCATAGCATTGTTTATTGTGTATAAGCATAGCACCCACAGACGCCAGACCCTACAACACCCACAGGTGCCTGACCCTACCGCTCCCACAAATGCCAGGCCCTACAGCACCTCCAGACGCCGGGCCCTACAGCACCTCCAGATGCCAGGCCCTACAGCACCTCCAGACGCCGGGCCCCAGAGCACCTCCAGACGCCGCGTCCCACAGCACCTCCAGGCGCCGCTTCCCACAACACCTCCAGACGCCACGCCCTACAGCACCTCCAGACACCGTGCCCTACAGCACCCCCAAATGCCACGCTCTACAGCACCTCCAGACGCCGCGCCCTACAGCACCTCCAGACGCCGCACCCTACAGCACCTCCAGACGCCGGCCTACAGCACCCACGGACTGCCGTGACTAGCCAGCAGTAGGCCCAGCTGCCCACCACTTTCCCTCCCCTCTCACTGTTGAACTCCTCCGCCACTGCTAGATAGACTCTACGCGCATCTATATGCCCTGATGTGAAACTTTTCACCTCCCTCATTTGACCAGCACACTCCGCTCACCCTCTTAATATGCCACCTGTACTCCTCCTCCTCGTACTCCTCTCCTCCATTCACAAAATCTCCTCCCTCTACCCCCCCCACCCCCCCAAAACAACTTTACATTGGACCCTCACTACTTCCCTCTCCCCACTACGGTTCTCACCACCTCCTCCTGATACTCCACTCTCCCACCGACCCACACGCCACCCCTAACAGACCCACACGCTCTTGCACATCCTGCTCCCATGCCACCTTTCTCACCCTTCTCCTTCTCCTAACCGCCGGGGATATCTCCCCGAACCCTGGCCCCTCACCACCTCACTCACCCACTAGGCACCCTCCTACTCACACAAAGCGCCACAACCCCCTCAACCTTATACCTGTCCCCCTCCTCCCCGCACCCACCCCTCCACTCTCGGTTGCACTCCTGAACACCCGATCGGTGTGCAACAAGCTAACCGCCATCCATGGCCTCTTTATCTCCCACTCCCTCAACCTCCTAGCGGTCACGGAAACCTGGATCCAAGCCACTGACTCCACTCCCCTGCGGCAATCTCCTATAGAGGTCTCGTCTGGTCCCTTTCACCCAGACCGAGCGGCCGTAGAGGTGGTGGGGTCGGCATGCTCTTGTCACCGCTAAGCAACTTCCAGGTCCTCCCAAACCCCCCCTCTCTATCCTTCTCCTCCTTTGAG